CGGGTTGGTCAGTTCCAAGCTCCTTCTTTTTCTTCCAGTGAACGCTTTGTGAAATGGTGTTTTTGTAAGGAAATAACCACATCTTCTTTGATTTCTGTGGTTCCACTTGAAGTTGCCATCTCCTGAAAGTACCGGTCAGCTGCAGTAACTAGCTAAGGGGTGAGAGTGACAATCCAACTCGCTGCCAATGAAAGTGGGAATGTTGGGGCCCCCCCGTGGAAAATCTGAAAAAATCAAACAGAGAGCATCCTCGGGTCACCTGGCGAAAGCTGAAGGACTAAAACAGTCTCACGTTTGGCGATGCATTACGTGTATTCACACAGAAATGGAACTAAATACAATTTGGAACCAATTTTTATTGAATGCTGACAGAATACCAGGTGCATCGTACGACTAAATTCTATTACATCATTATTTTGCATTATCTAACTAATTTTTGTGTAACATGTTTATGTAGACTTTCTTCTTTAGATATTTGGAAGGGGGTGGCGACCCAGTGCCCCACATTAATGAGCCACCACTGTTGCAGATACAAAGACACTTTTCACTGCAGTTCATCCTCCTGCCAACCCCCCCCCCCCTCCCTTACATCTCTGTTTTAGCTCCTTCCTATGTGTCCTGTGGCCAAAGACTTTAAAGCAGACAAACCACCCATTGTGTGTGGCTCACAAGTCGGGGGTCTTTTAAGTTAAACCAAAAATTGAAGTTTGTCTTCGTGATTTTTACAGCAGTTATTTTAAAGATTGAATTGGTCACTGTTTGGAATTATTTTCAAAATTGCTTTTCTCATGGGGGGGGGGGGAGGCTGTGCAGAGGCTATCCTAAGCTGTAGCCCTGGCAAAATCAGGACCCTGCCTCAGGAAAAGAGGAAGGTCAAACCTGAAATCTTTACCTGGCAACATTAGATTGTAAAAACAGGGAGATTTTAGAGGGGGGGGGGACAACGATAACATTTGGCAGGTATGATGGTTGATCAATACATTGGCAAAGCTTATCTTCACGTGGCCCCACTACGTCAGTCTAGAGCCCCCAAAGAGGCTACAGCGCCCCTGTTCCCAGAGAATGAATGAAAAAATGCAAAAAAAAACTGGTGTGCATGCAAATGTATGAAGAAAGCTCATCATCCAGTTCGATTTTCAACAGAGTCATCCTTTCATCAGTCGACGAGCCCATATGAAAGGGCCTTCAGTCACTGGGAGCCTGGGAAGGCCTGGCTGGCAGGAACCATCAAACAGCTGTACTGCATTAATGTAGGAATTGCGAATCCCACAGGCAAATGCGAGAGTGAGCCTCCCGGGGTGCCTTAGCGACTCCCACCTGACGGCGGGTGAGCTGGAGAGAATTCCGCAGGTAATACGTGGGTCTCTGCAGCTGCACCTGCTGGTTGGAGGTGTGGGGGTGTGGGGGTGTGGGGCACAGTGTGCAAACTCTTGCTGGACGCTGCCCAGCATACGCTGTGGGTTATTATTCCAAAAGCTCATTTTGGATTTGAGGAAATGTTTGGCAGTAGGGGTGGGGGTGGGTGTACAGTATTTTTAGTAGGGTGATATCCCCCCCGAGAGTGGGGGTCCTCATCTGGTCAAACATCGCTGTGGTTATAGTAAACAGCCCACTAAGACCAGTAGATTCCCAGGGATTCATCACTTACACAAAGAGCCATTTCTGGTCCGAATCAATAGTCCTCAAGCATTTCAGCCTCGTGTTCGACTAACGCTTCCATTTCCAGTTAGTTTAAAACAAAGAAGCAGACTGAAGACTCAGTGAATCTCACCTAGAATCTCCCACTAATCTGTCTTGTGGTGTTTTGGTTTTGCTACTGTCAAATCATAATGCCCAAGCCCAACCTCATTTGAAGGCAGCAGCAATGGATCAAATACTGCTTGCTGATTGGTTGCCAAGACTGCTTCTCCCCATGTTAGACTTTTACATCTTCTCCAATCCCTGCTGTTTTCTGTTTCTGTTCGATCTATTCAATTCGATTCAGTTCAGATCATTTTATATAGCGCTTTTCATAGGAGTCGCCCCAAAGCGCATTACATGGGTGTGTTGTGATACATTACAACATCATTAGAGAGAGAACAATGCAAAACAAGGAAAAGGAGTGATAGAGAAATGAAAGAAAGCAACATGACAATGAAGGAGAGAAACCAAAAACTCTGAAATAGATCAGTCACTCCTGAACCTAACAGGTAGCCAGTGCAGGGAACTAAGAGCAGATATTATGAGGTCCAGCTTCCTGCTCCTGGTCACAATTTGAGCTGCTGCATTTTGAATATCCTGTATTTAAAGGAATATGTAAATATGCCAGCTGGGACACAACTTCCATCCATCCATTTTCTGGCAGAATGTTCCTCTTTTTGTAGGAGTCCTAGTATCCAGCAAACATCACTCGGCGTCTTCTCAAATAGAATCCCTTAAACTGGTATATATTGCTCCTCTACTAAATAGAAAGACCCATCCACCCATTTTTTGTAACCACTTGTCCTTTTCAGGGTTGCAGGAGGGCCAGAATCCAACCCCACAATGACATGGGGAGAACACGCAAACTCCACACACATGGGGCCATGGCAGAGACTCAAACCCTAATCCCAGATGTGGGAGGCTATAGCACTTAGCACTGCAGCACCGTGCCAACATTAAATACATTTATAACAATAATTAAAGCATCAGATTATGGTACTTTCATTTAGAATTAGTGGAAAGAGGGGATTAAGGGATCTTGATCAACCACTGTTGACAGTAAGTTTGGGAGAAAAAAATAACAGCTAGTAGGTGTTACTAATGTTGACTTGTGATTGAATGTTTAATGGATCATACCCTTGAGCAAATGATGTCATGCAGATTCAGAGAGTCCTTTGATTGGGCCCAGGTAGCGAGCAGGTGGGATTTTGATGGCAGGAGTTATTTACCACTTATTTAGCAGGTGGTAAATAAGTCTCCCAATTAATTTTAATAGGGTCCAGGTGCTAAGCATTCCCAGCACAATCAGGAAGTGATTTGCTTGTGTGGGTGGTGAAGCTCCAAAGTTTATCCAGGCTTTGGAAATGTTTATGATAGGGTTATACCATAGGGAGTGAACTTAGAGAGTTGCGAAATGCAGAACGTGGGAGGCAGTATGTGGCTGAGCCAGACAAGATGCTGTATCTGTGATCAGAAGGTTGCCAGTTCAAATCCTAGAGTCTGCAGAGTGATGTCACCATTGGGCCCATGAACATGGCCCTTAATCCCCATTTGCTCCAGGGACTGTTTCACCCTGCTTTCTGTAAAATGTACATCGCTCTGGGCGCTTTTCCATTACCAGGTACCATACTTTTGGTACTTTAGTACCAAAAGGATGGTACTTCAAGTTGCTGGTTTTCCATTGGCATACAAACTGGTACAGCGCTAAATGACATCGCAGCTCTAGGCGGGTATTTTGTATTGAATTCGAAAAATGGCTGTAGTCTATTATACAGCTTGGTGATATGCAATATTAATACAAACATCACATGTTATGCAGATACAATTCTTACATCGCTAGTCAGCTATGTTAAGATCAGGCTTTTTCTTACTTTCAATTCTGTATGGACATTATAGCGTGGGGGGGTTTATGTTTTGCTAAAATCTTTTTACTCTGTTACTCTGTGTCACGCCCAGCTCCGTACGATCCTTCTGTGTGCCACGCCCCTTCATTACCTCGTGTCAATTCCCGATGGTGATCACCTGTGTCCTGTTATGTTTGACTAGTCCTGTGTATATTAATCCGCGTCTCCCTCGGTTTCCCAGATCTGTCATTGTCCTCTATGGCTGTGAGTTCTCGTCCGTGCCTGTTCGACCTGTTTGTGCCACGGAATAAACCCCGTTCACCCGTCAGTCCGGCTGCTCTTGCCTCCTTGCCCGCTCGCCTACTCGCAGACGTGACACTCTGTCATAGGAAATAACTTAGCAAGCTTTGCAATTTTAATTATTATTCCTCTTATAGATTCTTATATGTTTAAAAATCAGTTTAAAGTTTCACCTCTGCTGCTTTTGCATGAGTGCTGCACACGTTCTCTGAGATCACAATCATTTTCATCCTTGCTGGTTAAATCACCCATAGACTGGTTTGTGAGAAATTTATGAACTCCTTTTTTTTGTTTTATAAATACCCCAATATTTGTATTACAAAATCACAACACTATATTTACATTGAAATTACGTTGCTAGGATCGTATAGTATATTAAACACATCATACTTTTTTCATTTCTTGTCATGCGATCCCAATTTTTTTTTGTATCTGCTCTTCCAACCAGATGGCTCTATATATAAACATAAATTTAGTTTGTTGTTGTTTTCTGAGTTTCACAACTTTTTTCAAGACAGGCTATTTGCATAACCAATACGGCAATACACTCCAAAGTACCACAGTACCTAAGACCGGAACTTGTGGTACTGGCACTGGAACTGGGAGTCAATGGAAAAGCAAAAGTACCAAAAGTACAAAAAGTGCTGCAGTGGAAAAGCAGCCTTGGATGAAAGCCTCTGCTAAATCTTCAGTAGGCTTTACCTGTGTTAAACCTGCACCAGGCTGGCACAGATATCTGGGGGGCACTGGGAGGTTTCCCCGAAGCCCCTCCTGGGTGAAAGGAAAGTGATTGTTTAGGTCTGCTTAGCCAAACCGCTTTCTGGTGTATTTCAAAGAAAGCACTTGGCAGGATTCCGTCACGTTGGTGCCTCGCCTTATACGGGCTGCGTTGGCCTGACTCATCCAGAGATGAAGCACTGGATTCCAGTAACCTTCTCTTGAAGAGGCTTCAGGCTGAATGCAGTGGTCAGGGGCAGAGAGCTCCATCCTGGAAATGGTAAATAACAAACCCGTGTCCGCTTGCTTGTGCCGTACATGTATGTGAAGACACTTTCTGCTTATAGCGTGTTCGGTAATCGTCTTCCTCTTTCTCATAATTCACAGGACAAAGTGCAGTTTTGGCAAGCGCCTCAAGAAAGAACAGAAGCAGAAGAAAGTCTCCTGATCAAACGTAAAGCTGGTTTAGCAGTCACTTTTTATTGTGTAAGAAATACACATGTCCAGCATGAATTATTACATCTGACAAGAAGTGAACAACATAAACTTCGACATCTTCAGTATTTCTGCATAAGGAATGTTATTCACAAATTCAAATAAGACAAACACACCATTAAAAAATTAAGTATTATTTACAATTGAATGGATTTCAGTTAAACTGAAAAAAGATGGCCGATAAATCTAAAAATAACACAAAGCAATTTACATAAACAAATTCTCCTATTTCCAATGATATTAAAAAGAACAGTATAGTCTGCAGCAAGACAAAGCTAATCTATCACAAGACCAGAAGTGCCCAACCAACCAGAATCCTGTACGTTTCACAGAATACATTTTAATTAGCACCTAAATGAAAGCTGAAACGCCAGGTGAGACAATTTACTATCCAAATGTCTATTAAAGTGATTAACGGATGAGGTTGAGCAAATCCGTGCAGCCCAAGAGGACCGGCGTTGGGCAGCCCTGCTCAAGATTTTTAGGGAACATCACCCATGGTGAAGCGTCCCCAGTTCAAGAGGTCTACCACCTCACCCTGAATCTCCAGCTTCTAGAAGATAATCTGGAAAGTGAAGTCCACATCCAGATTTAAGGTGACTGGGGAGAGCATTCCACTCATGAGTATAAATTATGGGGGGTTTGTAACCCCCCAGTAATCAAAACCAGCCAATACAACCCCCTGGACCCCCTTAAATGGGTAGACACCTCAACCCTACCAATGTTCAACCCAAAATGATACCCTTGGTTCCACTGGAGGAGATTCATAGGAACATACAGATTAGTGTAGAGAGGCTCTCTCCAGGCCTGCAGAAGAGCTTCCAGACTCTAAAAGTAGAGAAGGCAGGGCCCGTATGGCCAGACCTGGGTGACTGAAGCCAGCCTGCCCATCTATCATAATTCTACAGAGAGATCAGCTACAATAAGAATTAAAATCAGCCTACAGATGCCCTCACAGCCTCGTCCTAGAGCCTGTGACTGACTGCCCTGCCCTGGGGGGAAACTGGATACTGTCTGGCTGTCCCAGGCATGTGATGTCTCCCCCGGCCTATTTATGACAAGCTACCAAAATATGTATCCCCCCCTCCCTTTAAGGTGGCGATTAGTAGCAGGGTAGGCATTAGCAGATTCGGGGGGGTAAGAGTACCCGGTGCCAAGAGAGACAGCTGCATATAGACACCCCCTCCACCCCCCACTAACTAGTGATTTTGAGCACAGACGCAGGACACAAATTCTGCTCCTGGAGTTCACAGTTTATGTAGAACAGGTACATTTAAAACAAATATTTTCATGATATGAAAGACCACAGAAACACGGCGGACCCTTATAAATCTACTGGCTCTGCTCCTGGCTCCACAAACATGAATGGGATTATGGGTAGAGCAGTGTCCGCCCAACCTTACTAGTTTTGTCTGAAAGCTTACCCCTACCTGGCCTCTCTGCAAAGCACGGACATCCTGGATTGGGATTGTGATCCCATTTCTGACACACGTTAAACATTTTACAACACTAACCAACACTGGGAAGATTTTTTTTCCATGATTCCATGATTCTCCTATGACAAATATTACATTACAATGCAAACAGCCTATAGTAATGAGTGCGCTTTCGTTTTTATTTTTGTTATTGAGGCTTTGCGAGCTCATGGGTAAGTGTTCAAACATTTCAGGGCAATGCGGTGAAGTGTCGGGTCTGTGGCAACCCTCTGTTATGTAAGCAGGCTGTCTCTAGGCCAGAGGTGGGCAATCTTACCTGCAAAGGCCCAGTGTGTATGTAAGTTTTTGGGATAACCTTTAGGTCAGCGGTTCAAACCCATAATGAATTAAGGAGTATCAGTGAAAAGCCGGAAACACAACGGCCCTTTCTGGATAAGCCTGCCCACCCCTGCTCTAGGCGATCTATCTTTAAGTGCTAAAAGGTGAAAACAGGTTATTTCCAAGTACCTTTCCTTCACAGGCACATTGGACATTAGAGACAAAAGGTAGTGCAACAATGACCCCTTTGAACATTTAACAGACCAGTTACACCAGCAAATTTAACTGTACTGCCTCAGCTACACAATTGTGCATTAAATCATGGTGACTTTGACTAGTCCTGCTCCAGGCTAGTGCTTCAACGGGAAACTCTGAATCTTATCTTACCCGACTTCACAAAGGTTGATTATTCTGAAGTGGAAGGGACTTTAAAAAGCTGCCTACTCTGCACGTCGTCTGGGCCGGTTCTGCAGGATTCCACAAGGCATCGAGTGAGGAGATGCACGCCGCTCGGCCTGCCGGCCTCCAGTACCAGTAATTTCCAGGTCTACTGGTTTCTGACCCACTGGTTCCCCCACTGAATATCCACAGCAGTTTCTGCTACCTCAGATGGGGTGGGGGGGGGGGAGAAAACCTTTTAGAGGAAGAAAGCTTTCCTTTGGCCGATTCTAAGTGGCCAGCATTTCAGTTTAATTCAAGCTGTAATTGTTTTGCCGGACAGCACTTCTTTGTCTCAGAGAAAGCTTCTGGGTGCTGAGGGGGGGAGGGATTTCCTGGTTTAAAAAAAAAAAACTTGCGTACATACAAATAAAGGAACCCAACCAATCAAAAAAATGTGCAAATTTTACTTGTATAAATAGACTACAGTATTTGGACTGGGAGGTGTAGGGAGTGGTTTATTTGCACCAACGCGTGTGAATATCACTGTGTTCAAAAATTAAGTGCGTGTGCGCATGTGTATCTGAGACACGGGGATGGAGGTGGGTGCTGGAGTCACACCCAGTCCTGCAGGGAGCGTTTGCAGTAGACCAGCAACCTTGGCGGCCCCTTCCTCTGCAGCGTGCTAATTATGGCGTAGATCAATCCCAAAATGCACAGTACCAGCACCAGCGGCACCGTAACCATGACGATGTCCATCACGCTGGCCCCGTCATTATCCATCTTCACTACCACGTCGATGTCGTTGGTGCCCTCGTCCTTGTAATCCACCTCGTTGGTGCGGTCGCCGTCGCGTCCCGCGTTGGGGTCGAACGGCTTATCGTCGACCTTGGGCCACTTGCGCCCCGTGTCCTTGTCTTTATCCGTGTCCAGGTCCGGATCCACTGGGCATCCCATGAAGTCCCGCAGGATAGATTTGGGATATCCCGGCTCGCTTGTCATGCGGAGGTTGTCAAATTTCCAGTACTTAGTTCCTTTGTAGAAGTAGGTGTAAGCTGTGCGGTAAGAGAACGAGAAACAAACATCTTACCACAGTGACTCCCTGTCATCTTACAGAAGTGATTAAAGCACTTAAAGCAGAAGTACTGCATAGTCAGGGTCAAATTCTCAGGTGATTCCCCCTCCTGTGTCATTTCATAGTCCCCCGCCCTCTGCTCCTCTCCCTCACCCACCTCCGTCTTCGCTCAGGAAGGCCCCCCGGGGAGAGGGTGGGATTTCCCCCCAGACGCTGATGGGTTTGGGGTAGTCCCTGTCCACAGCCCGGGATTCTTCATTAAAGCGCCAGTACCTGTGGCAGGTCAGAGGCACTGAAATGGACATCCTGCCCTTCTACTGCCCCCCTCCCAAATTCAGGGAACTGAAACGCAAAGTTTGGCAAAGTGCAATTAAGGGGGGGGGAGGGGCTGTTTCTTACCGGTCCCCCCTGAAGAAGTAGGTGAAACCTGAGGGTTCCCACCAGATGGCTGTCTCAATCTTGTCATACGGGATGTCCCTCCCATAGTACACCAGCTCCTGGGGGTATCCAGGCTCCAGGTGTGCCTCCCGAAACAGCCAGTACTTACTTCCTAGAGATGACAGGGATGGGATTAGGGATTATGGTGGATGTGGTGATGTGCTGTCCAGCTGGGGTGTTTAACATCACGGAAACCACACATATGCATGGGGCCCCCGAGGTTAGTAGGGCCCCCCCTGTTGGCAACAAACAGTCATTAAACTAAATGATAAATACACACATTCCTTCTTTGGGAGATGCTGAAGCGGCATGTTCTGCTAACCACTTAGCTAGCTATGACCTTCTGACTTGCTAGCTTACTAGCTGTTTGTTTAATTTCTGAAACATCTGAGAAATGGCCTCAAGTGACTATTTGTGTGGGGCCACAGAAACAACAAACCAGTCCCTGGAAATATCCTAGATTGGGAACCCAGTGGCACCCGTTATCCCAGTTTGGTGAGCGCAGCCTAGTCTGTTGAGAGAATCGTCCCATGTCAAAGGAGCCAACACGGAAAAGGCCCATTCTGCACAGGTCAGCTTGACGTTGTGGGAATTCCGTGTGGGGATGTCGCACGATGTGCGACAGCTGTTTGCACACCCCCCAGCCACAGTCCTACTGGCAGCGATTCTCACTCCGAACCGAAACTCATGCAGTCAGCATCTGGAAACTGAATGCTGACACAAATCACAGCCACATCTGCCAGAGGTCCGACTCCAAAATCTCTCCTTTTCTGTCGGCTGTTTTCCCTAAATGCCAAAATCCAAATGTTAGGATGTTTGGCCGCTGACATCATTAACACTAATAACAACTATAATAATGTTTTTCATGGGGCTGCAGCTGTCTTGCTGGGGTAGGGACTCAAGGTCTGTTTTTAATGTTAAAAACAAGGAACACTAGTCTCAGCAACATACAGAAAAGGACTTAAGAGTATAATTTTCTAAGTGTTAGACAAGGGCCACAGCAATGAATGTCACGTAAATCTGAACTGTCGGCACATAAACATCAGAATGAGGCTAAAGGTCAAGTGAGTCAGTGAAGCGGTGTCACGTCGAACAATGCAAACAAAGGATGCAAATTCTCATTTTATAACTGCTATAAGGGAGAAAAGTTTGAGCAGTAACTCAAAGCGAGAGGGGCCACAGCTTTATACAGGCTGCCCTCCCCACATGTGCCCCATTCAGCTGCCAGGGCTCCGGTTACAGCGAGGGGGCAGAGTCTCGCATCCTGGCAACATGGAAAAACACAATCATAAACCACCCGCATGGTGGGGTCCGCTTTCCATCCAGATACACGTTTCCCGTGACAGGGTGCGGTCTATCCCTCCCCGTGGATGGGGCTGATCTGACCGGAATTAGTCACGATAAGTATTAAAAGGTCACTGCCGGGATTTCGTCCTTACAAGATGGGCCGATTATCCAGCGCTATGAAAGGTCAAAAGGTACAAAACGGCCAGACGCAGTTACCTTTGAAGAAGACGAACCTCCCATCATGTCGCTCGTAGGCGGCGTCAATGTCCCCAGGCAGCCCCCTCCAGAAGTGCCCAATTGGCATGGGATAATTGTCCAGGACCCGATTCCGTCGGACCCTCCAGAACCACCGGCCCTGTTGGGCAGGGAAGGGTGCAGACGATCAGATCTCCACACCATTTCCATGAGGTCTGAAAAACGTGTTGTGTTCATCAAGTAACATTAGGATCCACGGCTGACCAAAGTATTTGGAAGTACCAAAACTAATGTGACATTTAGACATTGTGGCACGTACACCCAACACACTCAGCACAGCCACTGCACGAGGGAGGCCTATAGATTCTCTGGCACGCATCCAGAACTTGATGCTAATTCAAGTGTCCACCGTTAAAAGCAGAACGAGAAGCTCTGCCAAAGGGTTCTATATTTAAACTGGCCACCCTCAGCCATTCCTCTCGTTTATGAAGGCATGACAACTCCAGGATGACTTGAACAAAACGCAGGTTCTCCTTGGGCTGTTCCCTGGTCGAAGGGCTTCATCACGCTCTTCTGTTGCAGACTTCCACACATCACCCAAAGGCACCTCACCTTGAAGACAAACATCTCTCCACGCAGCATGGCTACGGTGTCGAAGTTGCCCTCGCAGATGTTGGGGCCATAGTGGTCCGGCCGATCAGTCCCTTGGGGGCTGTCGGGCTCTCTGGGAGGTGGGCCCTGGGGTGTCCTTGGGGGGTCGGGCTGTCGGGGGTCTGGCTGAGCAGGCTGCCGGGGAGTAACGGTAGGCAGAGGTCTGGTGGGGCTATTGTTTGGGGGACCTGGTAAAATCAGCACAGAGACAAAAGCTGATTTTGTTGACTCATCTTCCCCAGAATAGACACAGCCAATGACTGCACACAACCTTGGAAGGCAATGCAACGAGTCAAAATCATAATGCAATCTCTAGAAACTCAGTCAGAAAGCCGAATCTGGAAAGCAATAAATGGATTAGTGCCTAGGAAACCATGATAAATGGCACAACCCTTGCAGAGCTGAACTATCTCGAAGCCCAAAATGGTATAATGGACATCATCACCCCACTACAATCAAGAATTTTACACAATTTTGGAGGACAAACCAAAGTCTTATGAGTTAGTGCTTGGAATATTCGCACAGCTAGACACTTAAACCTCTCAAGATACTCAAACCTGATTAACAAGCATCTCAACCTCAACACTGCTGGCTGTAAACCTGACGCAGTGGATCATCCGTGTACAATCCCACATGCAGGTCAGGCTGAATACTCCAACTTTCAGTCCACAAGTGACCGACGAGATAATCTCCAGGCCCAGGCTTCAGAAGAGGCGGCCCACCGTAGATCTGCTGGATTCCACGCTGGTCGTCCTCGGGCAGCTGGAAGTCATCGGTGTCCATCCACTGGTAGAAGGGCGCCATGATGGCAGAGGGATTGTTTGAATGTTCCAGGCCTAGGGCATGGCCAAGCTCATGTACGGCCACCAGGAAGAGATCATTCCCTGAAGAGGGAGGGCAACAGAGTCACCTCAAACCCAAGCTGGAATGATTTACCCCCCAGGTCTTTCAAAATCAAAATAATTCAATTACTTCCATTAATTGACCCTAACTCCCCCCACACACACACACACACAAGCAGCCTTGTCAAAATACCTGAGAGATCTTGATTGCCAAGTGTCCAGGGTTCATCTGAGTCAAAGTGCGTGTCCCCACCCATGCCAGGCCCAGGAAAGTAGGCGTGCGCCAAGAAGCCACCCACACCATCAAAGGGTGAGCTGTCACCATGGAAACCAGAAGCGAAGAACACCATGATGTCAGGCTCCTTGCGTCGGTTGTACTTGACTTCATGGAAGGGCACCTCGTGGAAGCGCAGTGGTGTGGCGTTCTCCCACACCCGGAAGGCCTTGCGGACCGCCTCGTAAGAGTTGTACTGGCCCACTTTTGGTGTGTAGTTCTGAATGCTGGAAATGGGGGGGTGGGGCTGGTCAGTCTTTCTTGGAGGATGAACACCTCCAAATGTCAAATCACACTCACCAGACAAGTCTAGGTATTCCTTCATATCTACCATTTTGAAAACCAATTAAGACTTACAGGATAAACATGGTTGTTTACAAACCCTAATATAGGGGTGTGGTTGGGCTACAGTATGATTTTCAGTGGTGCCCAGTATGTGTGTTAATACTGCAAGTCTCTGGGGGAGTTTAAGGACGTTTAATAAAGGTGTGTTGAGGTTCAGGCCGCATCTTTACCTGAACGTCAGCTCCTCCTTGTTCCACCTGTGACCCGTCAATGCGTAGCGTTTCCGGCGAACATTGGTTTTGATCTGGCCCCCAAATTTGTCAGGGACTCCGCACCGAGGCCTCTTCATGGCCCTGGGAAGCGAGAGGAGCCGTCAACACTCGCTCTGGCTGGTGGGTGTGCAAAGCGCTTTCTATGTGCTACAAAAACACTACGTGGAGACCCTATGTGGAGGTGTGTGGAACATCCAGCTTATATGCATAGAAATTACATTAAAATGCTTGGGGGGGGGGACGTACTGCTGTGTGGCCTCGTCCAGGACTCCGGTGACTGGCAGACCGTAAAACCGCTGCATGTCACTGATGGCGGAAGACAGTATCTGCGCCGAGCGCATGGTGGACATGCGACCGCTGGCCTGGGGAAGGTAGCCGTAGAGCCGCAGCCAGGACTGGAGGGGGCAAAGGCAACAGACACTCAGTATTTTGGGGGGGGTGGTCACTCGGGGTTCAACCTGGAGAAGCTAAAGACCCCAAGTTGTGATGGCAAAGAAAAGTAAGGATGGATGCACCACCTGCAACAAAACAATAATAAATAACATGAACAACCAAATGATTACTTTGTTTCTTCCACAATATGAGTGACACATTAAGCCCCTCGCATTACACTCATTCTCAGGGGTGAGCTAGAGCAGCGCTAGGCAAGCCTGATGGACTGGGTGACACATCACTGGTCCACACAGACTTCAGATAGACTTCAGAGCAGTGTCTCCCAATCCAGTCCTCAGGAACCCACAGTCAGTCCATTTTTTTGCTCCCTCCTAGCTCCATGTAGGAGCAAAAACCTGGACTGTTTGTGGGTTCCTGAGGACTGGATTGGGGGACACAGTTATGATCAGCTCCTTTGCCCTTCTTTGCTATGGGAATACTGGCTGTGTGCGGTGATGCCCAGCTGGCAAACGTCGAATGTCAGCAGGAGGCAGGCGGCCCTTAGATGAGACGTCATACAATCAGACTACGGAGACTGGCAGTCATTACTCAGGAGACGGAAAGTGCTGCAGGCGGACAGAGGGGAATGGGCCAGGACTACGGACACCCAGGAAGAGTAGCGGAAATCAGGCTGGGGTGGGGGTGGCAGGAAGGATTCCACGAGGGGAGGGCGGAGAAACATCAATGACAGTCACAGGCTGATGGGTAGTGGGTGGGGTAAGGATAGGGTGGAGTGTGGCTCAGTGGGTTCGGATGCTGAACCTGTCATCAGAAGGTTGCTGGGTCAAATCCTAGAGTTAGCAGAGTGGGGATCTCACCACTGATCCCCTGAGCAAGACACTTAACCCCCAGTTTCTCCAGGGACTGTCTAACATAGAGCTAAAAGTGCCTGCTAAATAAATAATAATGGACATTTTCCATCAGTAGGCATTTTCTATCCCAAACACTACTAATTACTTAATTACACCTAATTAGAATAATGTATCTGTGGGCACTGATTACAACAACCACAACACAGCAATAAGCAAAGTTCAGGCTGAGCCTATGGATTACAAGAGACTGGCTGAATCAGTCAAGATGCCGAGTCCAAAAGCACGATCCAGTGCAGATTTCTCAGCATAGAGCTAAGTGGGGACCTGGGTGGCCATGTTATCCACCCAAAAGATGCAAAAACTATTAAGGAACCACAAATGCAGAACAGCAACACGTCAATATTTCGGGTGAAGCTGCTAAAATGGATGCCCTGTAAATTTCCGAAACCTCTCAAAACTGATGTCACCACCAGTAACGTATTCGGCATGGCCTGGAGTTTGAATGGATCTCACTGGTATCCTTCACCTCCATCTGTTTTCCTAAAGCTATTAACCACAGCTGCTAAGCAGACCCCCGCAGCCAAAGAAACTATTGTTGCTAAGGACAGATTTTCATATTTTGAATAGTGGCTGGGGATTGCGGCTTCTTTTTGGGAGGGGGGACGCGTGGGTGTGAACTCTCTGCATGTCATCTACTGAAATTTAGGTAACCTCTGGGGAGATTAAGGTCAGTGAGCAACTTATGAACTACAGGTGTCCCACAGTCTAGCCCCAGGCTTGCAAGACACTCTAGCACCAATTTGATGTTTAGTGACCCACTCCCATCTCCACCAGAACCTTATGGACCCCATATTTCTGCAAATGGCCAGCCAAGGCCCACTCCTTCTCTCTCTTCTACTCTAAATCCTTAACTCATACTGCTGCTGCCTCCCTTTCACCTCTCCCCTATATCAGTGTTTCCCAATCCGATCCTCAGCGACCTGCAGTAGTTCACGTTTTTGCTTCTTCCCAGGATGGGATGGAAGCAAAAATGTGGAGTGTCAGTGGGACATCGAGGACTGTGTTGGAAAACACTGCTCAATACCTTCTCAAAGTATTTGTTCAAGGAGGGGTTTATGTTGAGAGCCCCCAGCTTCAAGAGAGGTGTGCCATGGCTCTGGTAATTAGGGCTCGGGTACCTATTAAAAACCACAGCTTGGGTCTTTTATTCACCCCCCCCCCCCCCCACCAAGGGAACCTTGGCATCGATGGCAGCGGTATTTATTACAGAGAGCTGGAGCCGCTGAAATTCTCCTACCCAAGTATTTCAGCAAAGTAATTCAATGTGCAGCTCATTACTAGAAAACCAATTGGGAAGGTTCTGGAAGAGTAGCCAAAGGGGAAAGGAACATGGCAAAAAACCCATTTCAGCCCTGCCACGGGCCCTAGTGCTTATCACTGCCTGCGGCAAAGCCCAAGTGGTGCTTTAAGGACACGTTCACGTTCAGCCTAAAACAATGTTTCCCTATCCGGTCCTCGGGGATCCATGGAATCCACATTTTTGCTCCCTTGGAGCTTGGGGGGAGCAAAAACATGGAGTGACTGGGCATCTCTGAGGACCAGAATGGGAAACACTGGCCTAGAAGAAAGTCGACAGTGTCAACAAGGAAGGCCTGATATCCAGATGACTATCATCTGCCTTTGCTGACAACCACTCAAACCACGCATTTTGCGTGGGGCCCCTGAGGTTTGAAGGCCCCCTGTTGGCCACAATCACACACTATACTTCAGAGTACAGGGTGTGGGTGGGGAGGCCTGAAGTGACTTTTGAGTGGGGCCCCAGAAACTACAACCCCAACCCTGTACACAGTGTAATCCCCAGCCCCGTAACAGAAAACAGAAACACATGAATGACCAGCAAAGGGCTGAAGACTGTGCTCTGAAACAAAGAGCAGCCTGGAATTAGCTTGGCCAGAGATACACCCTCTCCAGTACAGCAGGACACCTCATTTGGCAATGAGAACCCGCCCGACCTTCCAGGAACCAGATGCACATGCAGCCATGTCCCCTGTGACATCACATCTATCCGCACCAACATCAGCAGTGCGGTGTCCATGACGACCAGCAGTGCGGTGTCCATGGTGACAGGCAACTGCAGCAGGGAAAACACAAACTTTGCTGGGTGAGGCAAAGCAATGGAGAGCTGAAGAGTTCAGGCTGAACACAAGGGGGTGGGGGGAGGGCAATGCTGTGTGACGGCCTGCTCCCCCTGCACCTTGCATCACCAAACCCCGCCCCCCCCCCATGTCTATGTCTATCTGTGCCTCACTCTTACACAGTCAGCAGAAGACAAGTGTGCACATTGTTCATCACACGATGCCAGGCAGGGCTGGGCATCTCAAAGGCTGCCCTTTGTTTGCAGCATGCTCAGATAACCGGTCACATGTGTCACAGCTGAGGCCAGTCTCCAGATCCCCTGCCCCAGCTTGGCCACATGGGAGGCAGAAACGTCACCACCTCTATTCCCAGACTGCCTCCGCTACCATTCACTGCTTAGCTATCATCAAATATCATGCAAACTCAAAATGCAGCTGGTGTGTGCTGCCCAACAAGGGGCAAACACACTGAAACTGAGACAAAGGCCTTGTAAGTTTCTTGACTGTCCACCCGCATGTGTAGTAGGCAGGTAGAGTTGAGCAAAAACATTTTGTCACAAGATATCCAATGTCTGTAGTAACTCAATTTCAATCACATATGCAGTTATGGAGGCTTGCCTGGGTAGGGCAGGGTGGCTCAGTGAATTAGGATGCTAAGCCTCGGATTGGAAGGTTGCTGGTTCAAATCTCAGGGGCAGCAGGGTGATGTCACTCTTGGACAAGGTCCGTAACACCCCCCTGACTCAACTATATGCTACTTCAGATAGAAGCATCTGCCAAACCAGGGACAGCCTTATCCACAAAGGGCCGGTGTGTATGCAGCTTTTTGGGATAACCTGTAGGTCAGCTGTTCAAACCCAGGTATGAGGACTCGTCAGCCAATTAGTCCTCTAATTAGTAATCTAATTGCGGAGTTGCAGCGAAAACCTGCATACACAGCGGGCCCTTTCTGGATAAGATTGCCTACCTCGCTAAAGAAATAATTGTACACAAGTCATTCTTTTTAAAGTACTGCTTCTGTTGTCTCCCCCACCACACATGCTAGTGTGTCACTGGGACATGTATTTCAAATTCCAGCATTTGACTGGGGGGACAAAAATTACAATAACAACAACAACTATCCTGCCCTGTCCCATGTCAGACGAGTGGGGGACAAGTGGCATAAATTAAACAGTGAGTTGACATGCTCCTTCCCAACTTACATGCCTCCCAACACAGACGGGGCAGCTGCCAATGGTCAGGTTAAACACACACCACATGGCAGAGTGAACCTGTTTACTCTAGAACAAGGTGTTTCTGTTACTAGGAATACGGCAGAGCTCCCAGTTGTGCTAAAACACTGGTTTCCGCCTAATTTAACGATATTGCAGAGTTGTGAATGACCATTGCATGCGATCTGTGCAGTACGTAAGGGTTTAATTAATATGGATAGGCCTACCTAAATAAAGAGGTAGAGTTCTATCTGAAAAGCAAAATATAACACTGACAAAGGTAAAAGTTAAGGGGACATTCGGGGCGAAACACCTGATCTTTTTCCTGCCTGTTTGACCGCATATGGTCTCTCGCTAGTGTGTCAGTGAACTGGTAGAAGCTGCGTGTCCTTTAGCAGGGGGGCGAGGGGCTGTAGGAAGGGGAGGAGCCGGGGAGGCCATTGTTACGGTCCGGGGAGTTCATGTGGGAGCAGGCAACCGGAGCCAGCAGTCACGGTTTTTATTAGAGAGACCTCCAGTGCAGCCTTTAAAACAGGCACAATGAGATCGGCAATGAAACGGAGCCGAAACGGAAAACAGGAGCGTGTAGTGGAAACAATGTGACTGAAAGCAGCACGAAAATGACAACAGTGAAACGCAAGTTTTAAAAGGCTCTCTGCATTCATACAAAACTTGCGAATTCGCGTGTGGTGCGCCATCTGTAAGAAAGGGGGAAATCATCGCTGTTTTCTTTGTCTTTGCTTTCCCTGAAAGGCCGTAAAAATAAACACATGTACATGTAATTATAGGCGGACAGGATGATGTTCGAACGATCGGCATCTGTCTGTGGCTAGTCGATTACTATCAATGTACTAGTCGAAAATGCAAATGGATAAATATAACTCCATGATAAACTATTCTATATGGAAACCAGCTGTCTGGACATGGAACTGCAAGATTCGTAGAGTCCAGTGATGAAATTAAAACAGTAAATTCGTATCTTTAACACATGTCATTGAGGTTCTTTGTCTAATATTTCATTAAACGCATATGAAGTGATTTCGTACTGTAGAGGGAATCCAAGGCAATAATACACCTTTAAAAGACTTTCAACCGAGGGAAGTTAAATCATTTTTTAAGTTAGTAATGGTTGCCTTTAAATATGAAGAAATAAAATTAGACTATTTATTATGGATTTACCTCATGCTGACCGTTATATAAATATAAATCACCTCTGCGTTGAAGCTGTCATCTTGCTCTGCCCGAACCGCAGATCTGTCAGCCACCAGCAGAAAGAGCAGCAGGACCACGGTCCGTTTCCAGAGAAGCCGGGTCCAGCGTTTCGCTGAGGATCCCATCCCGCCCGTGCAGCCAAGGGGAGCCTTTCCCGGTCCGTGATCCGTGCAAAACACGGGGCAGTGGCTGCACGCTGAAGCTATCCACGGCACAATGTGCTCTTAACGCCGAAAAGCCTTGCAATTGAAAAGACTGCTCTTCTTGTAGCATAGAAGCGTTCATGCACTACTTGCACACGACTTACAGTGGCTATAATAAACAGTACAGTTTTTTTCGGGGAAATTACGAACTTAATTTCTTAGTAAAGAGTAAAAATAAAACAAGTAATTTTAGAATCCTAGTGACCAATTTTATGTGCAGCGGAAATACCAGTTTCCCCTGTCAAATCTCTACCCGCCAATAAATCGAGTTAATTAAATCCGGTTAAACATGAACGTTACTAATAAGGGTTAATAACACTGAAATATTGTGCATGTTGCTAATTATTTTAACCAATAAACATGCATTTCTCCCTACGATACAAATATACAACGCTTAAAAAACAAGTACCATTGTACAGCGCAAATGTGTTTACTACTGACTAAAGTTTGCGTTTACTGCCTGCAAAAGTCTACTCCCGCTATCGAGTAAAAAGGAAAAAAAACCGATGACGACTACCCTTGGATCCCAATGTTAGTCATAAAATGAACTTGGTGGTTTGCCCGATTTCTGCCACATTCCCTTTAGTGTTTCTGAAGTGCGTCTCCGTTTACGCGCAGCTCCGTCGGCCGAGCGGTCCCTGTGCAGCTCCATCTGAGTAAGGCGCAGATCTGGCTCCTCACCGCCCTCTATCAAACTTGACATGAGGAAAGAGAGGGAGAGAGATTATCATCATTATCCTTCTTGACTACAAAAAAAGCACATAACACATGGTCTGATCAGCTCTGTCAGAAGCAGGCCTGCTTTCAGTTCTGGAACAATTTTAGCTACTAATGAAAGTTAGCAAAGGAAGTTGGCTTTAGGACTTAACACTGAAATGTGAGCTGAAAAGCCTGTACTGGCACTGCGCTTTCTCCGGTCATTATAAATATTATAAAAATAAATACTAAATATACCAAGCATGCGTTTTTGGTAATGGAAAGGGGAGAGTGCAACTCCTTCTAAAAATGTTAACGTATTTCTGTATTTTTTCCCCATGCACCACAATACACGAAAGGTGAAACGGGATTGTTATCTCATTGTACAGCTTCACAAAACTGCAGATTCGGCGATCCAGAACTAGTTCATCATCATCATAATAATAATAATAATAATAATAATAATAATAATAATTATTATTATTATTATTATTATTATTATTATTATTATGTCTTGGTGTTGTGACACCCCATGAAAATCACTGACCATACCTTCAGCACCTCATTGAAAAATTTCTGCTGGCACCCCAGATTGTGTACTCAATGCAAAATAATTATCTCTCTCTGAGCGGTCTTCTTAACAAAACTAGTGATAAATACCACAACTATTTTTTTAAATAGTGGGATATGGATGCAAACACTGACTTTCAACTGGCCGTCACAATAAAAACGTGTTTTTATTTTCTGAGTTTCTTCTCGAGGTCTTACTTCTCCTTTTTAAGGCATATCACCTAGTATTTCGGCAAACATCGATCTACCACACCACCTGCTGGCCATTGCCCATTACTGCACCCACCAAATAGTATTTGCAAAGCCAGTGTTTCTCAAGCCAAAGGATATCTCAAAGGATAAGCACAATTATACTATATAAGGCGTGGTAAAATTATTATATTTAAATCTTTAATCAGATTCAAGTAATGGTATTCTCTAATCGATTGGTCTTCAGGATAAATAGGCTTACTTGTGGGTGTGCACTTCCTATCTAGTGTTGTATCACTCATCAGCAGTTTTAGCCTTCTGACCCTTCGGTCACATCCAGGGAAGACTTCATCCACCTTGGCCATCTTCCATTGATTCCGTGGTATAGCATCATCCTGGAGTAGGACAATGTCATTTATCTTGGCATCTCTTTGGTCTTTGATTCCATTTTTGTTTTTGCTGCAAATTCAAAAGATATTCCTTTCTTTTCAAACTCCCAGAATTTGCCAGAAACTGAACTCTACTCCATCTCTTCTGAATGTAAAGATCCTCCCTTACAAACTCTCCAGGTGGTGATGCAGTGATTGAAGATCTCACCGCCAGTAAGTGATTCGGTGTTAAGGGTTCGGGTCCTGTCTGATCATTAAGGTGTTCTGCATTAATGGTTGGTTGTTCACGATGACCATCACTTCATACATGAACATTTTTAATGAAGAGCTGTCTAGTCTTCTGGTGGGCTGATCTAAGATTGCAGTTAGGATGTTCCTTACGGTCCGAATCTACATTTTCCACACGCCACCCATATGACTGGAAGCAGGTGGGTTCATAACAAACTTGCATCCCAGCTCTACCATTCTGGCTCCATTCCCTTCATCAACTCTTAGAATTCCTTCCTTGCACATATGAAATTTGTGCCTTGGTGACATCAGAGTTGACTTACAAAGCCACAAATAGTAATAATGGGTTTTAATTTGGTCGATTTATTCACACATACTTCTTTCCCTTGCTTTAGAGATTTAATTTCATCACTGAACACTTTTTTGTGAACAATCATTTTATTTTGAAAGAGCAAAGAAGAGAACAAGTACAAAGGCACAAAAATTACCTCCCAGCCCCCCGCCCCCCCCCAAAAAAACCCTGCGATAAACATCTGATATACAAATAGATAATGGATAGGTAGCACTTCCTCTTGAACGATGGTCAACACAACATCCTGTCTTTCTTCAAGTGTAGTGGCTTCATTGCATATTTGTTTCAAGGCTTTTGCCACCCGTGCCTGGTGTTTGAACCTTGATTTGGCTTTCAGTACCTCCTTCCAATGTGAAAACCTTTGCAGGTGATCTGATAGAGATCTCTTTTGCTACGCTTCAGTTGTGTAAACCTGTGCTCTTTTGAGTTCTAATATATTAGACAAAATAAGAGAAAATAAGACATATTATACGTTACAAATATCATATAATTATTATTGTACATTTAATTACGAAGAGCAAAGATGCTTCCGATGCATAGCAATATATCATTTTCACTGTCTCGATCAACTTTTTAATGAATATACAAAAACCGCGATAGAGTGAAGCCGCGAGAGTCGAAGCGCGAAGTGGCGAAGGACAACTGTATGCTACTGCCTGAGCATGCCTGTTAAAATTAACGTGAATGGTGCTAGCAGGCTAGCAAGTTAATTCACAAGCTCTGGAGCACAGCACTGCTGTTTGCCAATTGCTCCTTTTTCTGTCCTATAATGACATTCAGTACATAATATCTGATAGTATATTTTTCTACACCAAAGCATCTTCTTTCCTTGGATTACTGGGTATGGGAAAACAAAGATGACAACGAGCAAGCTGGGTCCAACTGGATGGGTCACGTCAGTACCGGTCCTTGTCGATGTGGCACCCTAACCAAGCATCACTGCTGGCGCCCCCCGTATGAGGCAAAGTGAAAACAGCTGACAAGTCGGCACCCCAGGCAGCGGCCTATGTCGCCTATAGGATTGAGCGGCCTTGGGTCACGTGATTAATTTGCATGTAGCCAAAAGCAGTGATAGGATTTTTAGAAGTCTGTAAGCCAGGTGATGAAGGTTCTTAAAAAGACAGAAAATAAATACATAAAAATGGCATTACAGTAAGTAAGTAAAACAGGAACAGAAGGTCCCTCAGGACACTATCCATGAGCCGCTGTCACGGATCGACCCCGGGGATCCCCGACTGACGTCACGAAGATCACACCTCCGGGGATTCCTTGATTCTACCTTTCCCGTTTTTACGAGCTGTCAGCTCTACGCCGCTATACCGGGTTGTCCGGTTTCTCCGGTTCTCTTTGCATCCACCTACCACAAGCTGTTGCAGATCATTTCCAGATTAGGGAGACTATTTTAGTTATCGGTTCTTGCACCCTGATACGAGATTTTCAAGATTTACTCCTGAGTTCGAGCGTTTTCCTGGTTTTGTCTCTCCGTGTTTTCTGATCGTTGTTTTGCCGTTTTGACCCCGAGTTTCTGCCCAGCCCCTTTGATGCCCGACGTGAATCGCCTGACCTCTGCCTGTACCCCGACTACGAGACCTGCCCAGCCCCCAAGACCGACTCCGTACATCGCCCGTCACAGAAAGATCTCGCCAGAGGAAGATGGACCCAGCGGATCAGGTGAGCATCCAGCAGCTGGCTGAAGCTCTGGCCAGACAAGGCACTTTTCTGAGTCGTCAGCAGACGGACATCGGTGCTGTGGGGGACTCCTTGGATTCCCTCCATGCGGGCTTGACAGCGCTGGCAACGGAGGTACAGCGCATTCAGGAGACACACCCCACCGCTCCGCCGATCGCTTCTAGCGAGCCGCGTATTCAGCCCCCTGGTCAATATAATGGGGAACCGGGCTCATGCAGAGCATTTTTGTCACAGTGCTCCCTCGCCTTCGAGTTGCAGCCTTCCGCGTTCCCTTCAGAGCGCTCTAAAGTGGCTTACATAATCATGGCTCTAACCGGCTCTGCGAGAGAGTGGGCAACTGCTGCCTGGGACGCCGGCGCTTCGTTTTGTAACTCTCACGCCCAGTTTCAGGAGGAAACGAAGCGTGTCTTCGACCATTCAAAGCATGGAAGAGAGGCAGCACGCGAAATTATGCAGCTTCGCCAGGGTCATCGCACGGTATCCGATTACACTATTCAGTTCCAGACCCTTGCGATGTCCTGCGGCTGAGATTCGCAAGCCTTATTCGATGCTTATTATAACGGGCTGGCGGAGGAAATTAAAGACGAACTCACAACACGGGAACTTCCTGCATCCCTGTCTGCACTAACCGATGTAGCCCTAAGGGTGGACATGCGGATTCGTCAGCGTCACAGAGAGTGACGTCGGCCGGAGGGGGTACCTTGCACCTCGTTCCCCAGCACTGGTAACCCCTTAGACGCCGGACCAGAGCCGATGCAGGTTGATCGGACCCACCTTTCTCCAGCCGAACGACAACGGCGCCTCTCTGCCAGGGTTTGTTTGTACTGTGGACAGGCTGGTCATTTTATTGCCCAGTGCCCAGTAAAAGGGCACACCCACCAGTAGGGAAGAGGGTACTGGTGGGTGTGGTTCCGGTCGATTCCTCTTCTGTGCAACGGACGTTTCTTCCAGCAGTAGTTACATGGGGGTCCTCCCAGCAGTCACTGGCCGTCCTAATTGATTCCGGGGCAGATGAGAACTTCATCGATTCTACACTGGCTCAACAGTGGGAAATCCCCACCACCCGCGTCCAGCTGGCAACACAGACAGCATACGCTCTGGATGGACGGAGAATGGCAACTATCTCCCAGGTTACTATTCCGGTGAGTCTGTTGATAGGGGGAGCTCATGTTGAGACCCTTTCGTTTTATCTGATCAACTCACCCCAGGCACCCCTGGTGCTAGGGCATCCTTGGCTTGTCCGACATAACCCTCACATCGACTGGGAGAGGGGCACAATAATTGCCTGGAGTTCATTTTGTTTTTCCCAGTGTCTGCATGCTAGTCAACCACTAGAGGTCCCCACACAGGATGAGGAGTTCCCGGATTTGTCAGGTGTTCCGGCAGAGTACCACGACCTGAAGTAATTTCAGTAAGTCCCAGGCCGCTTCTCTTCCGCCGCATCGGCCTTATGATTGTGCGATAGATCTGCTACCTGGTACCTCCCCTCCCAGGGGCCGTCTATATTCTCTTTCGGGCCCCGAAAGAAGGGCTATGGAAGAGTACGTCAACGGAGCTTTGGCTACAGGCATTATCCGTCCTTCTTCTTCCCCTGCTGGGGCTGGTTTCTTTTTTGTTGATAAGAAGGACGGCTCTCTTCGTCCATGCATCGACTATAGGGGCCTCAATGAGATCACCATTAGGAATCGTTACCCC